CACCCCAGCAACCACATAGCAACTACTCGGAACACCCCAGCAACCTCATAGCAACTACTCAGAGCACCCTAGCAATCTCATAGCAACTACTCGGAACACCCTAGCAATCTCATAGCAACTACTCGGAACACCCTAGCAATCTCATAGCAACTACTCAGAACACCCCAGCAATTGCATAGCAACTATTCAGAACACCCCTGCAAGTGCATAGCAACTAATTTTTTTTCTCTTTTATCCTTCTCTGTACAGCACTTTGGTTCCACTTGTGGTGTTGAAAGTTCTCTATAAATAAAGTTTGAGTTGAGTTGAGTTTAGATGAATATTTAGAACCCCCCAGCAACTACTCGGAACACCCCAGCAACCACATAGCAACTACTCAGAAAACCCTAGCAACCACATAGCAACTACTCGGAGCACCCCAGCAACCGCAAAGCAACTACTCGGAACACCCCAGCAACCGCAAAGCAACTACTCGGAACACCCCAGCAACAGCAAAGCAACTACTCAGAGCACCCCAGCAACCACATAGCAACTAATCGGAACACCCCAGCAACCTCATAGCAACTACTCAGAACACCCCAGCAACCGCAAAGCAACTACTCAGAACACCCCAGAGTAGCAACTCCTCGGAACACCAAGCAACCACATAGCAACTACTCAGAACACCCCAGCAACCGCATAGCAACTACTAAGAACACCCCAGCAATCGCATAGCAACTACTAAGAACACCCCAGCAACCGCATAGCAACTACTAAGAACACCCCAGCAACCGCATAGCAACTACTTAGAACACTCCAGCAACTACTCAGAATATGCCAGCAATTGCATAGCAACTACTCGGAACACCCCAGCAACCGCAAAGCAACTACTAAGAACACCCCAGCAACCGCATAGCAACTACTCAGAACACCCCAGCAACCGCATAGCAACTACTCAGAACACCCCAGCAACCGCATAGCAACTACTCAGAACACCCCAGCAACCGCATAGCAACTACTCAGAACACCCCAGCAACCGCATAGCAACTACTCAGAACACCCCAGCAACCGCATAGCAACTACTCAGAACACCCCAGCAACCGCATAGCAACTACTCAGAAAACCCTAGCAACCACATAGCAACTACTCAGAACACCCCATCAACTGCAGAGCAACTACTCGGAACACCAAGCAGCCACATAGCAACTACTCAGAACACCCCAGCAACCACATAGCAACTACTCAGAAAACCCTAGCAACCACATAGCAACTACTCAGAGCACCCCAGCAACCTCATAGCAACTACTCGGAACACCCCAGCAACCGCAAAGCAACTACTCAGAACACCCCAGCAAATGCATAGCAACTATTCAGAACACCCCTGCAAGTGCATAGCAACTAATTTTTTTTGTCTTTTATCCTTCTCTGTACAGCATTTTGGTTCCACTTGTGGTGTTGAAAGTTCTCTATAAATAAAGTTTGAGTTGAGTTGAGTTTAGATGAATATTTAGAACCCCCCAGCAACTACTCGGAACACCCCAGCAACCTCATAGCACCTACTCAGAGCACCCCAGCAACCTCATAGCAACTACTCGGAACACCCCAGCAACCGCATAGCAACTACTCAGAACACCCCAGCAACCACATAGCAACCACTAAGAACACCCCAGCAACCACATAGCAACCACTAAGAACACCCCAGCAACCACATAGCAACCACTAAGAACACCCCAGCAACCACATAGCAACCACTAAGAACACCCCAGCAACCACATAGCAACCACTAAGAACACCCCAGCAACCACATAGCAACCACTAAGAACACCCCAGCAACCGCATAGCAACTACCAAGAACACCCCAGCAACCGCATATCAACTACTAAGAACACCCCAGCAACCGCATAGCAACTACTCGGAACACCCTAGCAATCTCATAGCAACTACTTACAACACCCTGGCAACCATTCATTAAACTGAACAAATCACATTCCAGGTCATTTCAGTCTGAATTCAGTTCCGTTTGTTTGTTAAATGTGAATCAGGAAGAATGATTGAGATACAGATTGATCAGATCATGTGATCTAGAGAGAAACTGATGAGAAAAGTCTGAGTTTTGACTTTCAGTTGCAAACTCTGGAAGCTTTCCATTTAATCTCATTCTCAATCTCAATCTCATTTTTCACACTTTATGTTTTTTGATGTGAAGTTTAGACAAAATGTCTTTAGGTTATTTTGTGTTCTTATTCTCACAATATTTCAATGCTCTGAATGATATGAAACATCTCTGGAGAGGGAGATTTGAGTCTGAAACTCAGAGTTGAAGTGTGTGAGAGAGACAGAAAGCAGAAGTGACATATCTCCTCCGATCACACCGTTTCCTCTCGCAGTTACACAGCGGAAGACGCCACTTCCTCAAAAAGACACAACACGCTCCTCGCAAACACCTCAGACTGCGCGACGCAGGTAAACACACACATCTGCGGCCGTCTGTGCTCCGCTGCCATCGGGATGGAGGCGTTCAGTTCGAAGGACATGGCCATGAAGGCCCAGAAGAAGATCCTCAGTCACATGGCCAGTAAGTCGGTGGCTCATATGTTCATCGATGACAACAGCAGCGAGGTTCTGGACGAGCTGTACCGCGTCTCCAAGGAGCACACGGGGAACCGCAACGAAGCCCAGAAGGTGGTGAAGAACATGATCAAGATCGCCGTGAAGGTGGGGGTTCTGTTCCGACATGGCAAGTTCAGCGCAGATGAGCTGAGTGTGGCGCAGGACTTCAGGAAAAAACTCCACCACGGAGCCATGACGGCCATCAGCTTCCAGGAGGTACAAACACTCACATTCATCAGTCATATTTACATGCTAACGGTGTATTATAAGACTATGAGCAGTAGCAGTGCTACTGCTCATAGTCTTAAAGTTCAGTGTGTGCGTCGTCCTGCAGCATTTGTGGTGTCATTTCACACCAGCCAGGAAGAAACCACTTAGAAACCATCAACAGTAACCTAGCGGCCACATAGCGACTACTCAGAACACCCCAGGAACAGCATAGCAACTACATAGAACACCATAGCAACCACTCAGAGCACCCTAGCAACTACATAGCAACTATTTATAACACCCTAGCAACCACATAGCAACCACCCAGAACACCCTAGCAACTGGGTGTTCTAAGTAGCAACCGCATAACAACTACTCAGAACACCCCAGAAACTGCATAGCAACTACAAAGAATATCATAGCAACCATTCAGAGCACCCTAGCAACCACACAGTGACTACTCATAACACCCTAGCAACCACATAGCAACCACCCAGAACACCCTAGCAACTGGGTGTTCTAAGTAGCAACCGCATAACAACTACTCAGAACACCCCAGAAACTGCATAGCAACTACAAAGAATATCATAGCAACCATTCAATAACCTATTTTATTCAGTGGCGGAAACAGGCTTCCATAGTTTTTCTGCTGATGCTCTATTCTCAAGAGTTAAGAATAAGGACTCTTATTTTGAAATGTCTTAAAACTATGCAATATGTGCAGAAATGTACAAATATTATTATTTCTCCTTTTTTAGTCGCTCTGGATAAAAGTGTCTGCTAAAAGCATGAATGTGAATGTGTAATAAGGAGCGTGCGTGTCTGTGCGTCAGGTGGAGTTCACCTTTGATAAGAGCGTGATGATGGAGCTGCTGGCCGAGTGTCGTGATTTACGGCTGAAGCTGGTGGAGAAGCACCTGACGCCCAAATCTCTGGATCGCATCAGACACGTGTTCAACCATTACTCGGACCCGGAGCTGCTCACGCACCTGTACGACCCGCAGGGCACGCTGTGGCCCAAACTCGGCAAGATCTGCAGCGGCCTGAACCGCATGATCGAAGAGGGCAAGCTCTGAACACAGAGCTGGACTGAAAGACCGGACTTCAGAGCCTCTGGACCTGTTTTCACAGAGACACTGAGCTCAGGCACGCAGTGAGACGCTCCTGAACGCATCCCTCGAGTCTGTTTGGGCGATTCGCGCTAAACGTCAAAAACACGTGCAGCTCATATTTCAAAACCAACTCAGAAGGAAGATTTAAAGGGACAGTCCACCCAAAAATCAGCATTCTATCGTTTACTTCTCAGCTAACAGGGAACGTTCTAGCAAGGTTCTGAACTAACATTCCTCCAGTAACGTTATTAGAACGTTCGTGCAATGTTTTCTGGTCTTTAATAACCTTCTCAAAGCCAAAGCGTTATTTATACATCATTCATTGAACTTTTTTAAACATAACTCAAGTCCATAATCCATAATAAGGCTTCCTCCAGTGAAAAAGTGTTCTGGTGTGAATCAGGAGAGAAAGCAGCGTTTAAACAGCTCTAAACAAATATGTGGCTGGATTTTGATGTGAGAGACAACAGCAGATGCACTTTTTCACTGGAGGAAGAGTTATTATGGATTATGGACTTGAGTTAAAAACGTCTTAATGCTGGATTAGTTTCAGCTTTTGTCTTCTCCAGATGTTAACTGATGGACTGGAGTGTGTGGATTACTTGTGGATTATTGTGATGTTTTTATCAGCTGTTTGGACTCTCATTCTGACGGCACCCATTCACTGCAGAGCATCCATTGCTGAGACACTGATGCAATGCTACATTTCTACAAACCTGATGAAGAAACAAACTCATCCCGATCTGGGATGGCCTGCGGGTGAGGAAATATTCAACAGATTTTCATTTTTGGCTGAACTGTTCCTTTAACATTACCAAGAAAATGCATTGAGAAAGTGAACTTATTTTGTATCGACTTTAAATAACAGATTTCTGCACGTTTAATATGATCACACATTTGTTTTGCAAGATAAATACTGAAATAAGAGGTAAACACTTGAATTCTTTATTGCCATTTCTGGACTGAAAAACCTAGAAAAATACAAAATCAGAAATTGAACAGCTGAGAGCCATTGCTGGTGATGTGAACAGAAACCAACAGCTGAATCGGTCCTCCAGAGTCACTCAGTTAACGAAGCTTTGAATCACTGAATATGATTCAGTTGACACCTGTACAGTAACACTTCACAATACGGTCTCATTTGTTCACATGCGCGTTAAATATCGCATGCGATTAATCGTGCAGCCCTAACTAATATATATATATTTTTCTAGCATTTATTAATCTATGCATTAGTGAATGCACTTTATTAGTAAATACTGAAATTAACAAATAAATACAGTACAAGTATATTTCATTTGTTAGTTCATGTTAACTAATGCTGACAAATTAAACCTTATTTTAAAGTGCTCATTCTGACAATTTTGGATCACAACTTCAGCTAAATTTAGCAACAACAACAACAAACACAGTCAGACCTGAGTGATGTGGATTGAAACACTCAAAAGCAGTCATTAGCACGCGTTTAGGTGGCAACTACGGTGTGTTTGACGATGGCTTTCGGTCGTGTGCTCTTGGCGGCCACTGCCGGCGAAACGCTAAAGTCACTGTTTCCGCTGAAGTTTCCGGAAGCGTTGGGAAAACCGTGCGCCGCGATGTATTTCTGGTAAGCCTCGCGGATGATCCGGAAGGCTCGGGCGTTGGCGTAGGGGATGTCCGTCACGGGGTCACGATACAGCGCGGGTTTATGGGTAACAGGACACACCTCCTGAACAGGCTGGGCGGGGCTGGAGCGAGCCGATGCCGGGAAGGCGGAGCTAAATGTCTCATCGTCACTGAAGGTGATGTAAGTGCGAGAGCACAGAGGCCCCGCCCCCTGAGCAGAGGATGAGGAAGTGGGCGTGGCTTGGGGCGTGTCCTGGTCCAGCCTATAACAGGAGATGAGAAAGTTTATCATGCATCTTGTTATAATCATTGAATATTAGTGCTGTCAAACGATTAATCGCGATTAATTGCATCCAAAATAAAAGTTTTTGTTTACATAATATATGAGTGTGTGCTGTGTATATTTATTATGTATATATAAATACACACACACACATGCATATATATATTTAAGAAATTTTTGTATGTTTATATATTAAAGATATTTATATATAATATAAATTATAATAGTGCTGTCAAACGATTAATCGCATCCAAAATAAAAGTTTTTGTTTACATAATATATGAGTGTGTGCTGTGTATATTTATTATGTATATATAAATACACACACATGCATGTATATATTTAAGAAAAATATATTGTTTATATAATATATTTATATATAATACAAATTATATGAATATAAATATATATATGTGTTTGTCTTTATATATACATAATAAATATGCATAGTACACATACATATGTAAACAAAAACTTATTTTGGATGCGATTAATCATTTAACAGCACTATTGACTACGTTTACATGGACAACAGTAATCTAATTATTTATCTTATTCTGAATAAGCCAATATTATGATTAAGGTGTTTACATGAGTAAATGTTAGAATATTCCTTTCATGTTCTCGTTTTAAATGCTATAGTACATAGATCGATTAATGGCACACGTCATTACGTCACCACGCGACGCCATCCGACGTCCAACCCAGAATTTCATGTATAAACATATAGTTCGTCTTCGTTATGATGCCATATACAGCTTTGGGTGTTTCATTTTTAATTTACTGAAAGCTTCAAGTGCAGTTAATTACTTGTCATGCTATACGTGCAAACAGACGACGGCATTGTTGAAGCCATGCTCAAACGGTTGACTGTCGCAAAATGCAGTGAAAAGTCCTACGCGATGGTAATAGTATGATTAGGGTGTTTACATGTCTATACTGCACTTCAATAATGCAATTAAATAGGAATACTCCACGTCTTAATTTGATTTGTGTTTACTTCGACTATAACTGTAGCCGGATTAAGGTAATCAAAAATCCCTGTTTAGATGGTAGATTAATCGTGTTAAAATCAGAATATTGTTGTCCATGTAAACGTACTCATTGCTATTGTTAACTAAATCTAATGAAATGTTGTAAAATGAAGCAAAGTTGAAATAAAATAAAATATAATATTAGCTAAAAAAATTAAAATAAATGGAAATTAGAAATGCATTGGCAACTACCTGAAATAAATGACACGCACCAATAGTTTTACATATACACACTAAGCTGACATACCAAAATTACTGAAACTGAAAACTAAAACAGAAATAGATATAAATTCTAATTTGTTTAAAAAAATAAATAAATAAAAATGTTAATTAAAAATGAACAAATTAAATGTAAATATTAAAATAAAAGCTAATTCTAAATGAATTATTAATTCAATACTATTTAATTATTACAAATATAGAAAATTATTTATAAAACATAATAATTAAATAATACTAATAAGCAGCAAACACGGTTTTACAGTATATTTGTTAAGTGAGTGTTTCACTCAAATGAAAAATTATTAATAGAATTTCCAAAGATGTGAACTCATAAAAGTTTAAGTCAGCATGAAATGTAAAATTACTCTATATTCCAAATTCATGTGCATTTCTGTTTCTTTTCTTTTTGTATGTTATATATATATAATGTCTATATTTCACTATTATTTACTATTTTTACTATCTTTAATTACTAAAATGAAAAAGGAATTGTCCCTAGCTCAATTTAATAGTCAAAATTCTATAAAAGTATTTTTGTTTTTACATACTACCTAACAGTACTTATTTTAAACATACTTAATTTTAGAAGTTTTTGAAGTACAAATATACTATTCAGTTTCTGTCCATCTATCTTAGTTCAGAGTTTCACAAACTAGGGTTTGTGAGTTGATAAATAAAAGCTAGTTATTAGCTAAATTTAAAAAAAAAACACAACTAAAATGATTCCAGCTTTTCAGGAACAAGTTATTGTTTTACATTAATAGCAATTTAGCATAACAAACCAGTTCCATCTAACCTCACCTATTATTATTATTAATTACAGTTCATTATGTATAAAAGTACCCTTCCACATCCACGTTCTCCTCCTTCATTTGAGCGTCTGGGACCAGCAGCATCAGCACTGAATGATAGCGAATGCTCGGCCCTTCAAAGCGTCTCTTCTTATGAACCTGCTTCTTCTTATCGGCCTCTAAACGCTCATAGTTTTCTGAAAACACACACACTGTAATGTGAACACACACTCATAATTAAATTCTGGTGTTATTCCTGAAATCTGGAAATCAGCTTTTGTTGTTCCTTTATTAAAAGGGGGTCAGATCCTACTATATTAGATAATTACAGACCAATCTTCAAAGCTGTGTGTTTTATCAATTTTTTTTTAGAAAGCCTTATTAGTGAACAGTTGACTTGTTATTTGAATGCAAACAAAGTGTTTTCATAAAAAACATAGTACTGTAACAGCTGTTTTGAAAGTTTTAAATGATATTGTGGGATCGATTGATAATGGTGATTTTTGTGCTTCCCTTTTTATTGATTTATCAAAGGCTTTCGATACAGTGGATCATGAAATATTGTTGCATAGATTGAAGAGTGTTGGTTTATCAAATCTTGTTATTCCTTGGTTTAAAAATTATTTGAGTGGAAGAACTCAATGTGTACAGGCTGAAGGTAAACTATCTGAATCATTGGAGACTGCCAAAGGTGTTCCCCAAGGATCTGTGCTGGGGCCTCTTTTATTTACCATTTACAGTGGGTACGGAAAGTATTCAGACCCCCTTAAATTTTTCACTCTTTGTTATATTGCAGCCATTTGCTAAAATCATTTAAGTTAATTTTTTTTCCTCATTAATGTACACACAGCACCCCATATTGACAGAAAAACACAGAATTGTTGACATTTTTGCAGATTTATTAAAAAAGAAAAACTGAAATA